AAAAAAGAATCGTTCGTCTTCCCTTAACGGAGAGTCAACTCCGTTTCGTAATGCGCGTTCTTAACGAGAAAACGCCTCCAGAGAAGAAGTACCCCGGCGCCCTATTCATCGAGCTGTTTCACTCAGCTTTCTCTTATACGTACACACACACACACACACACACACATATATAGAAATATATATATATATATATATATAGATATAGATATACAAGTGGTGATCCAAATAAAGTATTACAAGTTGTCTTCTCTCATAAAACTAATAAAGATACAAAATTTTGTTTTCAAAATACTTTTAATTAAATGACAGAATAAAGCTAATATTTTTCTATGCACCCCCTCCCCCAATGGATGTTTATTTTATTTATTTCTTTATGTTTTTGTTGGTGGGTGGGGGGGGGGTGTTTAATAAACTTTTAGAAAAGGATTTAAATGGTGAGTATTTTTTTTATGAGAATTATTTTCAATATTAATATTTTTAAATTACTTTTTTATCTGAATGTTTAACACGTTTAATTTGGAATTATTTTCTTCTTGATATAGTCTCTCCCTTTTTTTTTTCTTTTTTTTTATTATTATAATACATATATGTAAATGTGTTCTATATATATATATATGTAGAAGGTGGAACGAATAAAGTGTTGCAAGTAATAATATTAAGAAAAATTAGTAAAGATAGAGATTGAATTTTCCTCAGTAATTAAATAGTACGATAAGGTTAATACATTAGAGTATGCAATATACAATATTTTCTTCTTAAGTGACTTTAAAATGAAGAAGAAAGTCTGTGTGCACCTTAAATTCTTTTAAATAGAGAACATAACATTTATTTATTAATATTATCATAAAAAAAAAACTAAATAACAATTACTTGAATTAATTCTTTTTTCTTCTTTTTTTTTATTATATATATTTATATAATATCCACGTGTAGAGATATTACACAAATCAATACGAAGTTGATATATTCATTAGTCTCTTGAATACTTTACTTGTACCACCCTATGTACATATATATATATATATATACGTACACACATACATATATTTATCTAGCAATATTAAAGCTTACCAGCGTATACCCATGGGTCATGTTGCAATCGAGACGAGACTTCTTGAAAGCGTAGAAGAATCTCACGTTTCTAAAGCGTTAAGTCGATTTCCGAAGAATTAACGATACTTCGATACTAACACAGATAAATATAACAAGTAGATGTGTAAAGCCTTATATGATCGTAATCGTCAAACGTTTCCTTTAAAAGAAACTTTTACATCCTTTTCACCACCCACCACCCCCTTCCTTCCCTTCTCCATAAGTAAAGATTTTATATTTATTTCTTCTCAAAAAAAAAAACAAAACTACTACTACTACTACTACTACTATACTAGAATGATATTTAATATATATATATAGAAATTTGTTAAAGAAAATTATGCGACTACGATTGGATAATAGTTGGTGTACTTCTTTAACGAATACGTATCGATCGTTACGAAGAATACTTGTATACATGTATACATGTACATACATACATACATAAGTATACATACTTACTTACGTAAGAAGTAAATTCTCTTGAGAAAATGCTTCGTAATGACGCTTTCAAAAGATACCAATGTCTTCATCCCCTTTTCTCAAATTTTAACTTTGATAAATTTCATCTTTTTATTAGATAACCACGATTATATATTTATATATATGTACATATGTATGTATGTATGCATAATAGAATCATTCTTCGAAATGGACTTCTTCGATGATGATGATGATGATGATGATGATGATGATGATGATGACAATGATCGAGATATTTTCTTTAATGGGATTTTTAATCGTTCAATTTTCTATCTACTTTATTATTATTCCACTACTATCTTCTATCTATATCTTTTTCTTCCCATTTTATTCCCATAAATACGATAATAGATGGGAACATTTGGCAAGCGACGAAATCGCAACAATACTGAGAGGTGAAATAAGAATTTTAAAGAAAAAGAAAAAAAAGTAAAAGGGACGTACTAAAGTGCCAGCAGACACTTTTTCTTCAAGACCCTTTTGGCCTATAGTAATGTTCACCCTCGGCATTATGCGATATTACGAGGAGGGGCAAGAAAAAAAGAAAAAGAACAAAGTTAAAAAGAGAAAGAATGTATAAAAGAGAGAAAGAGAAAATGTATTATTTATTTGATCACACTGTAAAATCTCTCTTGCGAAGAGATTACGAGAGATAATATTCTTTTCTTTTTTCTTTTTTTCTTTGTTTTTTTTTTTTTTTTTTATAGATAAATGCTAACTTATTTTAATAAAAATGTGACACCGATCAAGAGAAAAAGGTAGATAGAACATTTAATGTAGATTTGAGAATATACTGTTCTCTTTTTTTTATACGTAAGATTAGAGATTTGTGACCTCGAAGTATCTTTTTTTTTCATTTCTTTTTATATCTCTCAAAAAAAGTATTACAAAATTTTTTATATTCCAAATAGGAAATAATCACACGATAATTATCACGAAAGTATTGTTATTTGATATGATCATAATTGTATAATTAAATTCTATCGATTGTTAGAAACATTGAATCTATTGAAAATAATTGAAATTAAATAACAATCGAGAAATCTATCTATCTAATTTTATTCGATAATAAAAAAAAAAGACAAAAAACCTTTTTATTTTCGAAAATATAATCATCGTCAAAACGTAATAATGAAAATCACGTTCATTGTGTGATACACACGAAAAAGAAAGTAATCATAAAATAATCGATTCACTTCTCATTTTCTTCCTTTTACTCCTTTTACTTTTTCTTCTTTTTTAATATACAGAGAGAGAGAGAGTGAGAGAAATAAAAAAAAGAAAATGGATGGTACGACGATCATGATACCACCCCCCTATCGTCATTGAAAATCTAAAAGTCAAATTACACAAAGACTTTTACGTGAATCCAATTATTAATATTCAATGGGAGAATTCGTGGAATAAAGAAAAAAAGATTATTGAAAACAGGGGGGTGGGGGTGGAGGGGTGGGGGTAGTCGCAGGGCGAATTTTACAGAACGTCTTCGGGTGCGAGTAAAAAAAAAAAAAGAAAACAGATATAAGATGATCGAGATGATACGAAAATTAGTTTTCTCTCGTTCTACCCTTCCCCTCTTCTCCAGCAGCCCCTAACTCACCCCCTGTTATTCGCTCTCTTAAAAGATAGAACGGGTTAAATCGATGCCACTCGCATAATCGAATTTTGAATCCTCTCAGCGACCCGTAAATTAATTAAAATGTCGTTCGAGAGAGAGAGCACTACACCCCCGTCCCCACCCCCACACCCTAACCATCCCTTATATATTTATAAAATAATTCGAGTGACGATACTTGGACTGAACGCATTTTCTTTCATTTTAATTATGCAAAATGCAAGAGATTGTTAAGAAACAAATTTTGTATCATTGATTAAAAACAAATGATTTTACCTTTCGTATTAATTTTCTTTCATGAAATAAAACTACCCCCCACCCCCTCTCCACCCCATATTTAAGCTATATATTTTTGTGTTGAATTTAGTGACTTAAAATTCGTCAAATGAAATCTTTCTGTCCAATTTGTTTCGTTCGAATTTAACAGGTGACGTGTGTGTGTGTGTGTGATGGTAAGGGGGTAATAAGGGGGTGTCAAGGAAGAACTGAATTTGTTTTTTTCTTCTTCTAAATTCTACACAATTTTATGGTTTTCAACACCGTGTTAGAATCAAAACTTTGAAATCCTTAACCTTCTAGTGTGCTTAGTCGACAACTTTTGAAAACCCTTTTCGTTTGTTTAAGCTTTCAAACTTTTGCAGTCCTTTTCTCGTGTAAAGGTTACAAACTTTTTCGACCAATTGAAGCTTATTAAAGGGAAGGAGGGGAAGAACTTTCTGAGAAGAACAGTCTGTACGTTATATACATTTATTTTCTTTGCAATTAAATTGTAAGTTAACAAAAATAAATATGTAATTTTTTCATTTGAAACTAATTGGTATATAAGAAATGCATTTACCTTTGATGTATCAAACAACAGTTTCAATAAAAAAAAAAAAATGATTTTAGCATGAACTGAACAACAACTCACTTTTACTCCCCCTTAGTGTATTCTCTTCATATATATATATGTATTTATACTTAATTAATATACTTATGTAATAATGTAATTATGATAATGGGATTTAATGAAAAGATTGCGAGGTATATCAATAAAAATTGTTGATAAAATTGAACGAGATAAATTTTTGTTTAGAAAATCTATACAATGTGTTAATTACTCAAACGTTTTATTTAAATTTTAAAATAATATCTTCAACACATAATTTACATTATTCTATTTCTATTATCTTCTTTGTCTATTCGAGCTTAGCAACAGCAACAAAAAGTTTGCTATAAAAGTAATGAAGGGTAGAAAAAAAAATTGAAAGACATACAGAGATAGAGAGAGAGAGAGAGAAAGAGAGAGAAAGGGAAAGAAAGAAAATGAATATGGAAGCATCTAGAAAGAAAACGTGGTAGTATCATTGAAATTACAAGGGTGCTTTTTAAAAATCTCCTTTCGCGAAATGGAAAAATATTTAAGTTTTTCTTATCTTATATATCCTTGTGATAGAAAGAGTTAAAAGAAGAAGAAGGAAGAAAAATAAAAGAAAAACAAGAAAATTTGAAATAATTAAAGATGAAGAAAGTGAGAGAGAAAGAGAGTAAAGAAAGTGTAAAGGAAATGATGTGAGAGAGAGAGAGAGAAGAGAAAAAAGAAAAAAGAAAAAGAAAAACAATGTTTAAAAGTTTGTACGCGCGAGTATTTGTGAAATCGATATTTAAAAGAAAAAGAACAAAAAAATATGATAATCTTTCGTTTTTAACGTTAAAAAACTTAGGAATACGTTCGTTCGAGTACGTTGAACTCTCACTGTCTCAAGAGAGAGAAAGAGAAAGAGTATCTTACAGTTTCGTTGCATAATTCAAAGCCTTTCATTACACTTACCTACGTGGTTGCTGAAATCTATCTCGATAGTCCTTTGATAAATCACATTCAAGAGAAATCCACCTTGAAATTCAGGATCGAACCCAATAGTCAGTCAGTCCTTTTTTTTCTTCTTTTTCCAATAAAAGAAAAAATTCGAAAGAAAGAGAGAGAGAAAGAGAAGAATAAAAATAAGATGAAAGTGGACAACAGTGTATATAGAACTTTTTATAAAAATCAAAAAAAAGTTTCCATTTTAAAGTTCACCTTAAAGTGTTGTATTCTCTCTGTTTGTTTTAAACAAAACAAAAAAAAAAAAAATAAAAAGATATACTCTTTTTTGGACACTTGAACACTCGACAATTTTGATCTCTCGTTGTGATAACGAGTGTTAAATTATCTGTGTGTGTGTGTGTGTGTGTGTTTGTATGTTGTAAGTTTCTTTGTGTAGAAATATTGAACGTTATTTTCAATAATCTTATTGTTCAACGATCAAAATGATCGAATTCTTCTCGATATGATGATGATGATGATCATAATAATAATAATAATAATGATGATGATGATGATGACGATGATCACGAGTTATCTCGATCCATGATTCATTGTGATTGATATTTCAATTGTAATCTTCGATCGATGCTGAAGAACATTTTATTTCTCTTGTGTCATACTTCTTCTTTGGTTCTTTTTCTTCCTTCTTTTCTTGCTTGTTTTTTTTTAGTGAAATCAATTTTACAACGACAAAAAAAGAAAATGGAGAAAATATATCGCTGATTTTTTTTTAATAATTTACGTAAAATTCGTAAACACTTTTGATTAAAATAATCCACGACACTGTTAGCGTTCTCTTCTCGGTTATTATTATTATTATTGTTTCTTCCTTGGATTTTTTTTTTTTTTTTAAATTGTTTTACATACTTCACCCTTTTCTCCTATTTTCAGAGATATAAATTGTACGATACTAGAAGCAATTTCATGAAATATTCGTATATTAATTCGATTAACTTTCAACGTTTCGATGTTATCTTCTTCTTTTTTTTTTTTTTTAATTCTTCACGACGATTATTAAATAATAATAATATTTATCTATTAAAAAAAATATATATATATATATATATATAGAATCTTGCGTTAAAGAAATTTTCAACGGATAGAGGAGATTAGAATATGACGAATCTTAGCAGGGGGGGGTGGGTGAAGGGGGGTAGAATCTATTTGAAAATATATTTAAAGTTTTTTTTTTTTTTTTAAATTCTTTTACAAACGTCGGATAACTTTCAAATTCCACTTTTGTCCTATTTCTTATCAATAGTTTTTCAAAATCTTCTTCTATCTTTATCTCTCTCTCTCTCTTTATTTCTTTCCGTAGTCCTTTGATTCTTTCTTCTTTATCTCGTGAAAACTAAATTCCAAATATCTAAAGAAAAATAAGAATAAATAAATAAATTGTTCGTTCGTTCTTCGAAATTCATGTAAATCTTCTGTTCAGTATTTCGTTAAAACGTTCGTTTTTAACTATTAACTCTTTCACGTATTCTATTTCGTAATTCATTTTTTTTTTTACTATTTCGTCTAATCAATTTTTACGACACTCACGCACACGCATAGACATACACACTCTCGTACATGCACGCACGTGCGTATGATTAATAAATTCGATCGAATTTCTTTTGGATCATCGAAATCATTTTCAAAGTTCATTCAAAATGTTCACGTTTATCTTTTCCTTCTATTGTATTTTTTATCAACGAGTATATATGTGTGTGTGTGTGTATTTCCTATTCGAATAAATGGAATTTGTTGGACAATCAATGGGAATAAATAAATAAATAAATAAATAAATAAGAAAATAAGGTTAGAAATGTAATTCTGTGAAAAAGCATCAACGAGTGTTTTAAGCTTTCATCAAAGAATGCTAAAAAATCTTGTTTCTTTTCAAATTCGATTTATCTCAATTTCTCTTGAAATAAATTCAACGAAACGGAGAGAAAAGAAAGAAAGGAAATAAAGGAAAGGAAAAGAAAAGAAAAAAAACTGAATAAATCTTTCGATCTTGTTGATCCACACAAAATTCTTTAACCTTTAACCCTTCCTTCGTTTAATCTCTATTACTCCGAATACTCTTTTCTCAATTTCACGCTAATTAATTAAATTCAAAGATACCAGAAAAAAAACAAAGGAATATATAAAGATAGATCGTAAAATAAACTAATAAATAAATCATACGAAAAAAAGAAAAGAAAAGAAAAGAAAAGACAAATTATTAAACTAATATTTCATTAAATCCTATAAAATAAAAATGAATTTATGTGGTTACTGTGGCTTTGTACAAATTTTCTATCGTAATGTCAAAACCTTGTAGTAATTAAATAAAAATTCACATATCCATATATATATACACACACAGTTAAATATAATATCAGTAGCCCTATTCGTACGCGTATTAATTAATTCGAATGAAATTAAACATAATTTAAAAAATGATTATTATCAACGATGTCCAAATTTTCTCTCGTGATGTCAAAACCTTGTAGTAATAAAACAAAGATTAATACACACAGTTAAATATAATATCAGTAGCCCTACTCGTACACGTATAAATTAATTCGAATGAAATTAAACATAATTTAAAAAATGATTATTGTCAACGATGTCCAAATTTTCTCTCGTGATGTCAAAACCTTGTTGTAATAATAAAACAAAGATTAACGCATATATATATATATATATATATATATATATATATACACACACACATACACAGCGAAATATATTATCAGTACTAGTATAAATTAATTCGAATGAAATTAAACATAATTTGAAAAGAAAAAAAGAAAAAATGATTATCGTCAACGGCGTCAGAATTTTCTCGCGTAATCTTAAAAATCCTCTAACAATGTAACTCAAAAATTAATGCAACCACGCACTGACGCACGCACGTACACACACACACACTCGCAATTCGTATATTTCTATACGATTACGATGGTGAGTAGTAGTATTGGTGTGCGTGAAAAGGGTGAGAAAGGTGAAAAAGCTGGGTATGGGGAATGAGGATGGGGATGAGAATGGGGGGGTAGCGAAAAGAAGGGAGAGGGAGAGATTAGGGTGGAAAAGAGAGACAGGTGGTAGGGCAGGTCGCCGACACCGAGAAATTGTATATATGTCTCTCTCTCTCTCTCTCTCTCTCTTTCTCTCTTTCTTGCACTCTGTCGAAAACAACCGGAGGAGACCAACCACACCACGAATGCTGTGTACCGGCGGCGCGTTCGCGACTGGGATCCTGGATTTCGGATGAGGGCTGCCTTTCAAGAATCAACACGCAGGCGCCGCATCCGTTCCCTCTCTCTATCTCTTTTCATCTTATTCCTGGTTGCTTGCATTGCTTGCTTGCTTGCTTGCTTGCTTGCATTGCATGCAATGCATTGCATTTTGCCCTTCTTCCTTCCTCTGTACTCTTCCTGCCTACTCTACCTGCTCGTTCGTTTCCCTGTTACCTACCCCCTACCTTGTAAAAAGGCTTCAATGTTTCTTTTCTTCCCTCTCTCTCTATCTCTATCTCTATCTCTATCTCTATCTATCTGTCTTGTTCGCTGACTCGTTCTTTTTATTTCACGAGACACCCCCTACATTTTTTTATTATTTTTATTTTTATTTTTTATTTTTATTTTTATTTTATAGAGGATGAAGAGGAGGAGGAGGAAAGAGGGGGGTGGGGGTCAGGAGTTTTAGAATAGTTTCGTTAGATCGTAACGATTTCATCGCGTTCCTTTTACCTTTTTTTCTCATTTTTTTTCTTTCTTTCTATGAATGTGTTTTTCAGGTGCTTTGTTTCTTTTTTTTTTATTACTTTATATTAATATTCGAAGTATATATTTATATTATATTATTTGATTGTACTTATATATGTATACTGTACGTGTATTTTATTATTATTATCTTTTTTTTTTTTCATTTTTTTTTATGTGAAATACACGGTTTTAAATTGATTTTATTTGTTTGTTTGAAAAATGCATTAGATTTAGATTTTTATTTAATTATAATGATTATATGATATTTGAGAATATTAAATAACATCGAATTACAGTGTTAACGCAATTTATTTTCTATACGCAAATATATCTGGACTTTTTTTTTTTCTCTCTCTACCCGACCATACAACGTTTTGTATTTTCATCTCTGTTATAATATTTTTCTCTATTTAAAAGAATATTAGTATTATGTTTTTTGTTCCCTCTTTATTCTTTTGTGTTTTTGGTTTTTTATTTTTTAATACAGATTTTAGAACAGTTCGATATGGATGATTTCGGTGATTGTACTTTTTCTTTTCTTTTTTTTTGTATATTTTCCGATGATGTCTCGTTGTCGAAAGATCGTATGTAATTAAAAAAAATTGTATAGATATACAATATATATATAAAAAAAGAAAATAATAGAAAAAATGTCAATGATTATTATTCTGTTGACTTTTAATTATGTTTTATAATACCTTTCTTTTCTTTTCTTTTCTTTTCTTTTCTTTTCTCTAATCATAATTTAAATATTTTCTTATAGGATCTTTTTCCTCGAAGCTTTGCTGGGATTTTTTTTGTCAACGAATCTACTTGTACTATAGTATTTATCGAAATTACCATTAAAAATTTTAACAATTTTATGGTAATTTATAACGGTTAGATTTCTTTTCATATTTTTCTTTTTCTTTTTTTTTTATCTTTTCTTTATCACAACGGTTCTAATCCTTTTAACGTTATATGTAATTTAAATGCAAATCCATGAAAAAAAAAAATATTATACACGTTGTAAATGAAGGTGAAAAATCTTCAATAACATGATTTTTTTTTTTATACTTGACTACATTACTATTTCAATCATATATATTTGCACAATTTACAATAATTCATTACATAATTACATTAATAATTTAACATATTTAATATTATTATCAATTGCATAATTATAATGATGTACTAGCGAATAGTTAAGCTTGTTTAATTATTATGAAGTTCCTTATCTACCTACATTATGATAATGTATTCCTACTTTTAATGTATTCCTAATATAACATTTACTAAAACATACTCTGCTTTTCTGATGTTATCTATGTCTTCTCTCTCTCTCTCTCTCTCT